ATTAACACTTGGTTTGATGTTCAAGATGAACGCCCCCCCCCCCCCCCCCCCCCGCCCCCCCTCTCAAAATGCAGCCACATGAAATGCTTCAAATTCTTTTCCGTATTTTGCTTGTTTTCTTTGGCTATGTGGGCTTATTTATGGCTGTATCTCTTTATTGGGGCTTGGCCCATTTTCCCTTATAATTTCCTTATCTATTAAATGAGTTTTAAACTACACATAACTTGAATACAACCCATCATAAACAAATCCAAGAACATAGCTTTAAACATATAAACTTTTACATAGAATACATTCATGCTCACAAACTCATTCTAGTTGATCTCCCCAAGTGAAATATTTATGAGGGTGTATGAGAGTTTTCATTTCACAAAAATGCAAGGATATCTAAATAACAGGAAAAGGATAAACTCTACCCAACTTCACTTGAAAGATTAATCATCTATACTATCATCATTCTTGTAGAAGAAAGAAAGGGAGAGGAGCAACGGAAAAGAGAGGAAGAATATAGAGAAAGAAGAGGACAAGGTAAGAGGAGAAGATGTTGTAGAACGGAAACGAATTGGCTTTGCTACGGAGTGGATCTCCTCCTCCAAAATCTGAAAAATCAAACAGCTGTATGGCTTAGGAAATCCAAACAACAACTATACGAGAGCATTGTGACAGGCAAGTATGAGGATTCTGGCAGAAGTACACTGACTTTCCCTTTGATGGAATTTTCCTGGACAGCAGCAATTTGGAAGTTCACGGTGCTGGGAACAAATAAAGCCTTGCCGGGAAAATCTCTGGTTGCAATATTAATAGATGGAGATTTGATTTAGAGGAGGGAAACGTAAATAGGAAACCTGAAATTGAATTCAGCCAAGCTGAACTAGGTTGGGTGGGGAAATCTGAATTGATTTAGATTTTCCGAATTTAAATTGGGATTTTGTAATTTTCAAATTTGAAAATTTGAAATTAGGCTTAGGAGGAAAATTAGGAATTAATTGGGGCCTATTTGGAGCCATGAAATTAAGCTTTAATTAAGGGGAGGAGTAAGGAGTGGCCGGCATGGGAGAGAGGGAAGATTTTGTTTAAAATAAGTGGTCCCCCACGTGAAATAAACAAGACTAAAATCAAATATGGAATATGAATTTCAAATTTGCTCTAAGAAAAGAAATTTCCTAAATGGCCTGAAGCATTAGGAAACGTTAGGAATTTTAAACAGTTTAATTGGATTCTACAAAAAACGCAACTTTCTGAAATCTGATTTCAGATTTTTGCTCTCATAAAGAATTTCCTAAATATGGTCTAAAAGCATTCGGAAACGTTAGTAATTTCTACATTAATTCGGATTCTAAAAAAGCGCAACTTTTCTAATGGCTTGGGATCAATTAAGGAAAGAAATTGATGCACCTGAAATTGAATTTCAAAATTTTGGAGAAGGTTGGCCGGCGGTTGGTGTTGGGGTGGTGGGGAGTTAATGAGAAAGGGGAAGCTAGAAATTTTCTAAAAAAAAAAAAAAAAAAAAAAAAAAAAAAAAAAAAAAAAAAAAAAAAACTCCAGCTGAGAGCTCCAAACTACAAACAACAAAGGCACGACAACTCAATACTATTTTTATATAAGATTCAAGAAAGTAGAGGAGAAATGAAATTCAAGGAAGCATAAAAGCACCTCAACATTTACCAACTCTTTCTAGCTAAAAATGTCTCCAACAACACAAGTGACATTGCATTGAATCCATAAAACAAGCAAATAGTTTTTCAACCTCCACACTATATATCGCCAAACGTCCTAAGAAGGCTTTCGACCCAATTTTATGAACTTGCTCGCATGCCAAACATATAACACTTGCCAAAGTGATTATAATTATCAATGCATTTATTAGTTAAAAAGAATCACAAGAATCTTACATATATATATTTTAAAGAAAGGTTACTCAAAGATAATATAAACTATTTCTCCAACAAGAAGCCTACTCCATAGAAAATCCATGTCAATACCAAACTAAACATGGATCTTTCAATAAGCGGATGATAAAAAAATAAAACAACCCGAGGATTGCTCTAACTACACATATTTTCATAAAAGAGCTTCAAGAATGGTGGTAAGAGAAATGAACCAAACACAACTCATCATCAATCATTAAATACTTATTCCACTTTTCACATTTCCAAGGAAGAACGTGTCTCCTTAATTTTTCACTATGATGCTTTCTCAAATATGGAAAAGAAACAACCAAACATGTCATTCACAATTGAATATTTCCAAAAAAAATGAATCGACGAAGTTATGTGAAGACTTGATATGATCGCAAGCCTCTTGCTCATGCATTCCTTTCTCTTTTTTTTTTTAGTTGACATTACCACATGTATCTTCCATACCTATTTTGACAATGAATAACATGGCTTCTCATGATCCCTAATAATTTATACATGGAATTTCAAATAAGCTATCATATGATGCAACTCATGAATAAGTATAGATCTCATGTATAAGGTAACCAAACGAGTTCTCTTCCAAGCAACATAAATCAACGCATATTTTGTCTACATATTTATCTTTTCCTAGTAAGCATTATTACGAACGCCTTGCATACCCTTGTCAAAGAATACTATAATTTCCTATATTCTATACATGAGTTTTAAACTACACATAACATGATACAACCCATCCATAAACACAATCCAAGAACATAGCTTTAAACCATATAAACTTTACCATAGAATACATTCATGTTTCACAAACTCATCTAGCTTGATCTCCCAAGTGAAATATTTATGAAGTAGGAGAGTTTCATTCACAAAATTGCAAGGAATCATCTATAACAGATAGGATAAACTCTACCCAACTTCACTTGAAAGATTAATCATCTAACTATCATCATTCTTGTAGAAGAAGAAAGGGAAGAGGAGGAGCAAAGTAAAGAAGAGAAGAATGTAGAGAAAGAAGAGGACAAGGTAGGAGGAGAAGAAGAATAAGAATGAAGAGAAGAATGAGAAATCACCTTCCCGAGGGAAAGAGACTGATGTAGATGGGGGTGGGGGGGGGGGGTCAAACCCAAAAAAAATTGGTTTTGATTTCCCTTGAGCTTGCCAGCTCATTAATTTTTGAGCTGGAATTTAGCTCATTATGAGCTGGTTTTTAGTTCATTTATTGAACTAAGAGTTAGCTCATTATGAGCTATGTTTTTAGTTCACTTATTAATTTATTAGTAGCTCATTATTTTTGTCTCTTCTCCTTCCTCTTGTCTATTCGTTTCTCGTGGCTGGCTCTTAGGTTCCTGTGCCTTGGCTCCTTGGTTCCCATGGCTGCCTCCTTGGTTCCCACGGCTGCCTCCTTAGTTCTTGCGGTTGCCTCTTCGGGTTCCTGGCTGGGCTGCTTCCCGTGGCTTTTGGGGGGCTTTTCCCGTGGCTTATGGTGCTTTGTTTCATGGAGTTGACTGTTGGCTTTTCATATTCCCTATTTAAATAAGTTTTTAAATTAATGTTGTGGGGCTGTTTGTATTCCCCTCTCATGCCTATATATAGAGTTGTTTTGGATGTTTTATATATGATATATGATATATTATGTGATTTTTGGAGATAAAACCTGCGGGTTTGTTGTTTGGAAAAGCTTGCGAGCTTTGTCCAACTTCCCTCTTTCCTTCCCTCTTTGAGAAAGCTTGCGAGCTTGTCTCCACTTCGTCTTGGCTTCTAACCTCTTTCTTCTCGCCGCAGGTGACCACCCCACCTATATCATTCTTCTCAACATTTGGCAAGCAGTTTTAGGAAAGTTGTTGTCTTTATTGTGTTGTTTGTAAGAGTCAAGTTTGTAAGTCCTTTATTTTATATAAGTAAAGTTTGTTTTGTCTAATTTGTCTTCTTTTTATGTTTTTTCTATTATCTAGAAAGTTTGTAATTTTCTAGCAAAAATTTGGGGCCCAAATTTTTGCTTACATCAGAGACAGGTGGCTAGGGCAAGGAGTCGGGCTTGCGGCTTCTCCAGACTCACCGAACAAAAGAGAAGAGGAAGGTCTGGCTCTAGGGCTGTTCGAACCAGGGAAGTAGGGAGGAAGCGACTTCGACCTGGGCTTCCACGCAAACAGAGCGGGAGATGGTGAGGAGGGCGTCGGGTCTGGTCTGATCCAAAGGAGATGGAGAGATCACGGAATCAGAGGCAACTCCTTGCTTACGGACTAAGAGAATCGATGGAGGATGGAGGTTGCGACTTCCGACGTTGTGCGAACCACAAAGAAGGGAAAGAAGGAGAACCAAGAGAGCTAGGGGCTTCAGCCTCTTCAGTTCTGGAGAAAAGGGGAGATCCGTGCGAACGGGGGGGGGGGGGGGGTGGTGGGCGAAAGCCGAATGGTTATACCAGGAGAGTTGCCAGAGCCTGGGAGATAATCCGCTGCTTCGACCTTCTCGATCCCACCCTCATACATAAAAACAGGAACTCTGCAGCACTCGATACTCGAAGGAAAGCCAGAACCAGCCCCAAAATAGGAGGATCATGCGACTGGGGACTGCGGCAATGGCAGCATTTGAATTTCGGGGTGATCATAATCGTTGAACCCATTAAGCTGAATTTTAAGTTCAAATCAAACCCAGTTCGACTCAATTCGGGTTAACTTGGACTTGACTCGACTCGACCAAATTAATTCAATGAAAATCAAACTTGAATTGATGCTGATTCGGATTGAATTGAGCTCGACGAGGCTCGCTCAACTTGATCAAACGCGCTCGAAGGCAAATCAAGATAAAAACGAGGTCAACAATTATCATCATCATCATCATCATCATCACCACAATTACTCTTTTTGTCCTTATTTGTGTTTATATAAGTCATCTTAGTTAAATCACCAAAGAATAGTGAGAAGTTTGAATCTTCAAGCCACTCAGGTAATGCTTTTTGATAATAATAAAAAAAAAATCATTTTGAATATCAAATATTTCATTTATAGAATTTTTGACAAAAAAATTATACATGAAAAATTCATTGATTGAAAACTTATTATAACTTTGTCAAACTCTTTGGATTTACATGTCTTCGTTATCTTGTTTTCTTCATATTTTACAAAAGCATTCAAGTGAATACAAAATAAAATAGTTAAAGCATAATAAAATTAATAGGCAATGTAAGTTTTTGTTAATAAACAAATGCTTGGTCAATGATGTAATTTTTTTATTTAATTGGGGATAAAGCATCTAAAACAAAATTTTGATGAACTGCGCTTAAACATTATTCGTATCATTCGCAATTTGTTTTTAAATATATATTCCCGCAATTAAAATCATAACTTGCTTTATAACATATATAATTAATTATAATTTTCACTTTTTGATACTATTTTTCGTAGAAATTAATTTAATGAACTTTCTTAGCTTACTATATAAATTCGTAAGTCAGTACTTGTGAAATAGAAATACATACAAGTATTTGAGTTGCATAAAATCATGCTATAAATCTAATACCGACAACCACTAATTGCTCTCAGAACTTAGCCTAACGACACCTCTAAAAAATATCAACTTAAAAAACCTCTGACTGGTTGCTTGCTCAAACTTAGTTGAACGGGTGGTTGCTCGAGTGAATTTGATTGGGCTGGTGGTGGCCGGATGTACAAGGACTTTTTCCTTGCACCGAAGGATGTCAACTCCATGGGAAAGGTGATGTGAAACAATACATGCGAAAATGACTTTGCTTAAGGAAGTTTGTACTTGTAAATTTTAGAGAGCAATGTTAAGCAAAATCCTTTATTGATGTAAACGATAAGATAACATTAAGGTGATAAAATAGCTTAGGTCTAAACACATGCGAGAGGTTGAGATCATTAAATAGTCAACTAAGTCTTACTTTGCATACATGAGTGGTTTCAACGAGAAATTCCAATGCTAACAATAAGATTAGTATTATGAAGGGCCTCTCTCACAACTCATTCAAATACTAGGTTTAGCGGAGGCGATAGAACATGTGCTTTGTGAATCAAATTATAACCACGAGTAGAGTAAACTCAGAAGATAGAGAGTGAGTGAAGAGTTTACCAAAAAAAAAAAGAGTTATGAAGTTATGACGATGGCTGGAATGAAGGGGCAGCAGCCTTCAAACTTCTGGAACCACTCAGCAGCAATGGGAGTCTCTTCGGGCGGCTGAACATCACTAGATCTCCTCAGGACAGTAACTAGGACTGGTTCTGGACGGCTGGACAGCACCCTAGTTTGCTGTGGTCAACAGGATAGCAACCTATTGAGCTCAGGGAAACTTCTAGAGAGGAAGAAGGGCTGTCCCTGGGATCTGGACAGCAATAGTAGCTTCCGGGATGGCTGGACGTCGGTGGGCTGCTGCAGGAATTTCCAAACAGCAAATTGAGATGTTGGACAGCAGTTTTCCTGGAGCTTTGGAAGGGATTTGGGAAGGAAAAATCAGCCAACAGCTGCGG